CAGAAATAATAGTCTGGGTACAATGTTTGAAAACCTATTTAAAGACTTATGTATTGATTTGATGGTGTCCCATGGATAAAAAAAGGGATGCTATGTGGTCAAATGTTCATGTTGAAAGGAGAAAAAAGAAACACTTCGATCCAAAACATTCATGAAGGGGTATTCAAAAACCAGCATTGAATACAAATTGTATTACTTTTACCTGTAAGCACTTATCTGTGGTCATTAATAGTCCAAGTAAAGCACAAATTCACACCAATGCTTACTTTGAATTTTTCTGTATAAACTGAACTGTATACTTCACTGAAAGCAAAAGTCCATTCATTGTGGTTAAATGGTGAACACCAGAGGGAGACAGAGGATCATCTCTGTCAACTTCAAATTTTTGGGGTTTTCATTTTTGTCAGTTGTAATTTTGCAGTTACACAGAGTAGATCCATCCTTGGTTTAGACTTTGATGCATGTAGGGTTAAGGTTAGGGTTAATTATGGTCAAATCTATAAACCAAAAGCAATATTTTCATTCTTACTGACACGTTAATCTGAAACTATGTCCATATAGTGGCACCTGCTGTTAAAAAAACACACTTTATTTTTTATGTTGTGCTGTAGTTTTTTTATTCACATTTCTGAACAAAATGATTCCCCAAACCCCTTATTAACAGTATTACTGGCAGCAGACCAAAGCATTATAACATATCATATCGTAGGAAGCTTAATTTAATTGTTATGTTTAACAGACAGGGATTTTTGTCATAGACGGATTTTCTGCTTTGTCATTCTGTACAGGATTTCCTTGAGTTCGGGGAAAAGAATTCTAATTTGCTTCCTCCTCAGCAACTTCCTACCAGAAAGCTTGCTCACACAATGCATCCACACAGCTGGCATCTGATTATGAAATAACCCCTTCTTGTATTTTGTTTTGTTTTTTGATACATGGATAATGTATGGTTCAATGAATGTTTTCTATGTTTGCATGTTACTTCCTGCACTTTATAATAAGTATATTTGCATTTCCTTTTGGATGAAAATATATGCTACATCTATATATAGCATATATATATATAGCATATATACAGCATTTTCCTCAGTTCCTCTAGCAAACCATCAAACATTCTCTGCACTGTCACTGACAACTGGTATAGCAAGAGCAAGATATCTAAAGACACTGCTATATCAAACAGTCCAGCAGCTCATACCTCTGTTTTGTTTGCCAGCAGCCGGTGAACAAACTAAAAATGGTTTTAGATTTGGGCTCTGACCCAGAACAGTTTTAATTAAAATAAGTAGATAAATGCCAGTAATTCTTGTGCTGTGTTTTTAAATCATGAGCTGCAGAGCCTTTCCTTTTTTGGATGTTCCACATCCATTATTATTATTTTATTCAGATAGGATGTTCACTATTGCTTGATCAAAGCCTACAAAAAATACTCAAGTTTAACCCTTGTAAGATTTCATGTGACTCAAATCTACTTACATACTATCAATGCCTCTTTCTGATAGCAGTAATGCAAGTGATCACTCCAGTGGGATAATTAGCTGCACCTGCCTTCAACTAATCACTGATGGCGCTGCCAATCTAGCATGGTAAGTACGGAAGGTTTTAAAAGGTTTCAGAGTAACTCTCATGAACATTTCGTGACTGGCTTCATTGGTTAACTGTATGATAACTGACATTGTTAATTGTGTCCGAAGTAATGGGAACTGTCATAAAGTAAGCTTCAAAGTTGTTTTTATCAACAAGTTACACTAAAGTTTAATGTGAAGGCATACACTAACTAAAATTTCATTTCTAGATTGTTGCTGTTTTCGTTGCTTACTATAGGAAGACATCAAATAAATGGTAAGTTTGTTAAAATGAGATGACTTGATTTAATGTAATCAGAAACTAAAACATGGGCCTTTTAGCCAACAGCAGTGGATCTGACAACAATGGCGACAAAGAAATGTTGGAATTCAGCCATAAACTGGTTGTTGATCCAACCTTGCAATCCAGGTACACACAAGTGCCCCAGCAGCCTGGCTATCCAGCCCAGGTCCAGCAATTGCCCCAG